CCTGCATCATTCAAAACAAGTCATTCACTCTACTTGTCTTCTTAGTCAACCAAGTACACCATTTATCACAACTTAGCAACACATTTGTTCATATTAGAAGGAACCTAGGAAAAAAACAGACTGGTACCTCATATCTTTCGAGTGGCATAGTAAAAGAGACCATCATGCATAGACGAACATCCTGCCTAGCGTATTTGATGCGGAAGGGCTGCGATAAGAAACTATTATCTTTATCATCTATCTTCCACACTCCAGACGAGTCGTTTGAGGTTGAATCAAGAGCTGTTGACACAAAAGGCATATAGATTCTTATGCTAAAAAATATAACTCTACAAATACACAGAAACAGGTGATGGAGAAGAGCACATACCTTCATACTGAACAACACGTGAAGGAATCCCAGAGGCGTTGTTGTTATCACCATCCTCCCATCTCATGCTGATTTTTATTTGATACCATCTAAGAGAGTAACAGAATCAAACATTTAGACGCAGAGAATATAAAATTGCTTCAATATACACTCGAAGCTAGCTATATTACCCTTGCTGGAAAAGATCAAGGTTATGGAACCTATGGATATAAACAGCAATTTCCTGAACAGTGTCGACCATAAGCACAGGCTTAGCCCTGGCTACGTAAGCCTCAGCATCAAGAGTCTTAGTTTGCCTACTTCTCTGGCTGAGTCCAATTAACCATCCAAGACGCCTTAACATATGGGAACCACACTCACATCAAACCTTCTCGTTAAAACTTGTGTGTTTCAGGATAACCAAATCCTGAAACCAGTTCTTATAAATCTCATCCTCTAAGATGCAAACTCATATGGTCACACACACAAGCTAAACTCTATAGATTAGAAACACACAAAGAGGTGTGTGAGGAGTCAATACCGTTGACAAAAAAGTCAAAATTAGGTCAATGAGCTAAAAAGAATCACCAAATCTGAGGAGGTGGATTGCAATAATGAAAATGTCGAGAGAGCGAAACTACGTTTCCTTAGATAGGACTGTAACGTGAACCTTAAGAGATCTGAAGATTACAGGTAGATAGATAGGAAACCTAGACAAACCCTGAGAGCAGAAGAGGATCTGGGGAAAGTTACAGGATGATGATGGTGAAAATAGTTATATCTCGAGGGACTCCAAATTGATTTTTTTTTAAAAAAATTTTATGTCAGATTTGATTTATTTTTGTCTTTGTCGGAGTAAAGGATGGATTAATGTTTTCATACGACCACACTAGTTCCTATGTCTTTTTGGCTCTATATGTTTATTTTTTTTCATATCAATTTTTTTTTTTTTCTTGCGCTAAATCGACGCGCCATTTTAAAGGCCTAAGATGAGTTTACAGCCCATTTTATTTGGGCTATTTAGAAGGCCCGTTTAAAGAGTATATTATTGTTTTAAGAGAAGGCCCAAAACTTATATTTTGAAAAAATAATACTCTTTTATCTTACTCGTTGAGAACTGAAATTTTTTTGTATGGTCTTTTACTAAAAGGGAAATTGGACCATATAGCAAGACAAAAAAGATAGATCGGTGAAGTAGCCAAAAACCCTAACAGATCCACTCACACCGTTAGTTTTCTATATTAATACAGTTTTGTCTCTTCCTTTAACCGGTGAAACCTGCAGAAAAAAAAATTAAACAATAATTATTAGGTGTAAAGTTGCATATCGTGCATTATTGTCCTCCACATCTTTCTTTTCACTTATTCTCGCCGCCTCGCCTCCTTCACCTCAAATCTTTACTTCTCCTTCGTGCTTATCAAGTTCGTCCTCTCCTCCGGTGATGAAATCGGCTCCCAATCGATGGTGGTAACTCCGCAGCGGCGCCAATCAACAACCCGTATCAATTTCACTTCTCACAACCAGTGCTCAAGGAAACTTATGAAACTCTAATCATCTCCGATCGATTGACAGACAGTAAGTTCTCCAGTTTCTTCTCTTCATGTCGTTTTATTGTCAATTATATTTCTACTTTGTTATGGGAATTAGGTCTCTAAAACTCCCATAAATTCCCCTTGTTTTCTGTAGATTCTCTTCACCGTCTCTTTGTCTGTGCAAATTCACTTTCTATTCTATTTGGCTTGGATGCGCTTCCATTTGATTGTGTTTTCTCTTCCATTTGAATAGTATAGTTTATGGTTTACTCATTGTGTTTCGTACATTAAAATTGTGTTTTCTTCAATATATGAATTACACAGTATACTAATTTAATTTACTGTGTGGAATAACATTGCATTATGGTCAATTTCGTTTGTTGTATTGAATAGCAGCTGCAATACAACTTGTCTGCATGAGATCTTTTATGCATATTTTATTTGAAATAGAATAGAAAATACTATATGTTCAAACTATTTTATTTGAGATAGAATCGATTGATAAACTATTCTATTTGAGATAAAGTTGCATGATATGTATTGAATACACTATCGTTCTTCATCATTGTAATGTTTGAAATATAAAAAGTTCGTTTCTATATAAAATACAATGGATTACTCTGTTATAACCATGTTTTCCTCTTACTTTGTTTTTCAAGTTTACCAAAGAAGAATTAGGCCTTCAAGTAGATTGTTTGAGACATATTTATAACCATGTTTCCCTCATACTTTTTTCTTCAATTTGGCATGGACTCAATTGTGGTGAAATAGTTGACTTTTACCGACATGAAAAGACTAAGGTCTTGCGCGAGGGAAGAGAACCGGAAGAGGGTTCGATCTTGTTTTTGTTGTTTCATGTTTTATTGACATAAGTTTTGTATCAGTACATATATATGTGTTTTATATTAGTGTGTATATAATTTTGTAAAGAGAAAAAATATATTGGACGTAATATGATGTTGTCTATCTATTTTGTTTCATTCTATTTGGGTATATGGTCTATATTTGAGTTTAGGGTTTAGTGGTTAGAATTTAGGATTTAGGGTTTAGTATTTGGAAGGGGGGTTGAGGTTTGGGTTTAGTGACCCTATCATGTATTGTTCCATTTGATGATTAATAAAGAGTGTTTAAATTGTTCACGAATATGTATTATTCTATCTATTTCGTTACATTCTATTTGATTTTATGATTTATACTTGGGTTTAGGGTTTAGTGATTATGATTTAGGGTTTAGTATTTGGAAGGTGGGAGTTGAGGTTTGAGTTTAATGACCGTATCATTACCGTTTCATTTGATGATTAATAATGAGTGTTCTGTTTTACTCACCAATATGTACTATTCTATGTATTTTTTTCCATTCTATTTGGGTTTAGGGTCTATATTTAGGTATAGGGTTTATGATTTAGGTTTTAATATTTGGAAAGAGGGGGGTGAGGTTTGGGTTTAGTAATAGTAGCTTAGGGTTCAGTATTCAAAAGTTAAGTCTGGTTTAACATTGGAGGTAAAAAAAATAGCATTTATTATGACATCAAATGAAACAGAATAAAATGTGATGTTGAATGGAATGATATTCATATGATGTTGTCTATCTATTTTGTTTCGTTCTATTTGGGTTTAAGGTCTATATTTGGGTTTATGGTTTAGTGGTTAGGATTTAGGGTTTAGTATTTGGAAGGGGGGGTTGAGGTTTGGGTTTAGTGTCGCTATCATGTATTGTTCCATTTGATGATTAATAAAGAGTGTTTAAATTTGTTCACCAATATGTAATATTCTATCTATTTCGTTACATTCTATTTGGGTTTATGATTTGTACTTGGGTTTAGGGTTTAGTGATTATAATTTAGGGTTTAGTATTTGGAAGGTGGAGGTTGAGGTTTGACTTTAATGACCATATCATGTATCGTTTCATTTGATGATTAATAATGAGTGTTATGTTTTACTCACCAATATGTATTATTCTATGTATTTTCTTCCATTCTATTTGAGTTTTAGGATCTATATTTAGGTATAGGGTTTAGTAAATAGGATTTAGGGTTTAGTATTTGGAAAGAGGGGGGTTGAGGTTTGGGTTTAGTAATAGTAGTTAGGGTTTAGTATTCAAAAGTTAAGTCTGGTTTAACTTTATGAAATTGTGTGTTGGGTCTATGAATATGATATGTCAATCTTTTCTTATGGTTGTTGTAAAGAAGTGGCTCTTTTCTTACGGTAGTTGTAAAGAAGTAGTTCTATGTTATATATTTTGTTCCATTCTATTTGAGTTTAGGGTTTATATTTGGATTTAGGGTTTATATTTGGATAAGGATTTAGTGATTAGTGTTTAGGGTTTAGTATCTAGGGATTGGTGTTGAGATATATTTATTATTTAGGGGTTGTAGATGAGATAATAATTCTATACTATTTCGATGATATAGAATAGAATGCTCAGGACATATGTACGTGATCAATAAAGGTTTACGTGGATAGTTTCTTTTTCTTTTATTTAGAATAGTTTTAAGATGTTCTTGACCTTATTTTCTATTAGCCATGTTATTTTTTTCACACTTTTATCTGATACCTATAAAAGGGAAGGATAAAACCGGACACTTTATGGCATAAATGTTAAAAACTTCATTATGTCAAAATCAATGACATTTACCTAATTTGTATATGAAATATGTCTAGTTGGCAAATAAGCCCTTACTAAAACATCTTCAAAGTGCTTTTGAGAAGATATTCAAAAAGATGAGTATAAAAATATGGTCTAACTGTGTTTCAGAAAAAAAAAGAAAAAAAAAATGGTCTAACTAATAAATGCAAAGGAAATAAATGAAACGAAATCTTCTTGGTGTATATAACAAATTCACTAAGAAGAAAAGCAAAAAAAAAAAAATTCATTTTGATTTTATTTAGTTGCTAAAAAGAGGAGTTGACTTTACATTTTTTCTCTTTATCGGCAAATGTGATTATGTGACAAATGCACAGTCGCAGTAATGTATGTATAACGTATTTGCTTTTGAACATGCAGTGTAATTATGTTTTCTGACATACGCGCATTGACGTTTGTTTGTGTATATAACATAAATATAATCTTTGATTCAGCTTGTAACTATTTCCTCTCTTCCTCGGTTTCTCCTCTCAAAATGAAAAGCTTCGATACGGTGCATAATCCCTCGGTGGTGGAATCAGGTGACACCACCAGGAATAACTTCGATGATGATGGTCGGGAGAAGAGAACAGGGACGATGTTGACGGCGAGTGCGCACATAATCACTGCGGTGGTAGGCTCGGGAGTGTTGTCGTTGGCTTGGTCTGTAGCACAACTTGGTTGGGTGGCAGGAATAGTGATTCTTGTAACTTTTGCCGTCATCAATTACTACACATCCACTATGCTCGCCGATTGTTATCGATCGGACACAGGAACACGAAATTGTACTTACATGGACGTTGTCCGAACTTACCTTGGTATGTTCTTTTTGTTAATGGTGATAACTGGTTCAACTGTCACTCTAAAATTTAGCTAAAAGTGTAGATATAGATTCTTTTTAGAGATTTTTGCTATAGTTAAATTTGTCGTAGTTCTAAATAATAGATAGTAGATATTTTAAAATAAAATTAGATCATGACCGCGCATCCGTGCGGATAATATTTTCGTATGTAATCTATATAATTTAGTTTTATACAGTCAAATTCAAACTTAACTGTTTGCGTTAAAAAAATAAATTGAGAGTTTAGTTATTTTAAATGATAATAATTATCCAGATTTTTAAAAATAATACACAAAATTTTAGAATATTTGAACTTAACCTTTATTTTATAGATTAGGTCAAATTCAAATTTAATTTTGGTCTTAAGTTTGCAAGTGCAGAATATTTTATGATGAAAATTTTCATAAATAACTTGACAAATATGTTGGTAATTTCAAAGAATTTATGTATTTAAAATAATTTTTCGTTTAAATCAGTATTTTTAAATTCAATCCGAACTGCGGTTAAACTGGTTAAACCGCTGATCCAATAAATTTAATTTTGATTTTTTAAAATATTCATATTTTAAAAAATCACTAAAATCCGAGACTAACTGATTAAACCAATGGATAACTGATATCTAATATTTAAACCTCTAAAATAATTTTATTTTCGTTGTTTTATATATTATTTGAATTTTTTAATTTATCTAAATAATTTGAAAGAAAATTGTGAGAAATTATTAAAAAGTGTGAGATCTAAAATTTTGTATTGTAAGATTAATTGTAGTGTTGTTTGGAAACATAAATAGTAGTATAAAGAAATGAATATATTGTTTGAAAAATTGGATAGTAGTATAAAGAAACAAATATATTGTTTGGAAACATAGATAGTAGTATAAAGAAATGAATATTAGTGATTTAATGTAAATTTAACTATAATGTGAAAATATGTATTTAATTTTAGAACTTACAATATAAATGTTAGGTAAAATCCAATCTAATGTTTCTGATGTAATAAGATAGATATGTAAAATATGTTATGTATATACAAAAAATATTTTTTATCAATTAAATAGTTTATATTAATATTTTAATAAATGATCAACGTTTATTAATATTTAAAATGTGATATGTAAATAACATTTATGTAATTTAAAATATTTCAATAATTTTAAAACACAAAAAATTAAATTATATAGATGTTTTTAATTATGATTATCTCATTTATTTGATATTATAGATAGTTTTTACAGATTGTTTACTTAAAATTAGGTGTTTCCCTACACTATATGCAGAAATAATAGTTTTAAAAATAAAATTATATTTAAAATTTAATTAACTTTTATGTTTATTATTTTTTACATTAATAATTTTACCTTAAATATATAAGATAAAATAAACAACTTTTCTTTATATTTATATTTATATTTTTATTTAATAGTATATATGTATATATTTCAAATTAATTTTTATATTTTTATTTTGGTTAAAATATGTTAAATCAGATTCTATACAACTAACAGAAAATTTTGTTAGGTATATAATTATCAAAATATAAAATGGTTAAATAATATTTCTAAAATTAATAGATATTATAAATAAAACTAACTGTATTGAGATTAGAAAATTATTTTTTAAAAGCCGCATAAAATTCTAAAAAAAATAGTAATAGAAATTATATAATTATAAAAAATATACTTGAAAAATATTTCAAACATTTTAAAATATTATTATAGTTTGTTCAAAAATATAATAATTTTAACATTTATATTTTTTGCAGCAATTTTCGAAAACTTTAGTAATACAAACTGTATAATATAAAGAATAAAATCTAATAATATTTCGAAATTTCTGATGTTATATTTGAATATATTTATTTTTAAAATGACGTATGTGTTATTAACATATTTTAAATTTTTTTACCATAAATAACTATTAACCTTAAATGTAAAGTATGTGTTATTAACATATTTAAAAACTTTACCAAAATATAAATCAACATTAAATGTAATTATCCAAGTCATATTTTGCTATAAGTCATATCATCAATTTTATTAGCCATATCACATTTTTTTGTGAAACTGATAATAGAAATGACATGTAGCAAAATCACCTCACAAATATTATATAGGGGATACATAAGAAAAAAAAAATTCTTTAGTTTTTTTGTTATAGTTTTAAAAATAAATATAAATCATGATCGGTAAAAAATTATAAAACTTGATGTAGACTTTAACTTTTAAAAATAAAGCTAAAACTTGATTGGTAAAATTTAGTGATTTAAAAATAAATAAAGCTAAAATTAAAAGATAAAACTCAACCAATCACCCCCATATCATAACTGCTACTTTAGTATATTTGAAAATATAAACAACATGGTATATTTCATTGGCTTTGAAAGATTTACTCTGTTTTCTAGTAAATAATTAAGGTTCTTTTTCCAAAAAAATAATGATAATTAAGATTATTAAAATACATATTGAAAACAACAGGTGGTTGGAAAGTGCAGTTATGTGGACTGGCACAATACGGGTGTTTCATAGGGATCACTATTGGTTACACCATCACTGCCTCCATAAGCTTAGTGTAAGTTACACACAACTTGTGACTTATTTTCGATTACGACTAACGTTTTGTGAAGAAAGTATTAAGTCTTGGTTAATATGTCGTGTTGATTAGAGCGATCGGGAAAACAAATTGTTTTCATGACAAAGGACATGGTGCGAAATGTTCCGTGTCAAATTATCCATTCATGGCGGCATTTGGGATCGTCCAGACTATGCTTAGTCAGATTCCTAACTTTCACAAGCTCTCTTTTCTCTCCATTATCGCCACTGTTATGTCCTTCTCTTATGCGTCTATCGGAATCGGGTTAGCCATTGCCGTTGTGGCAAGTATGTTTTTCGCTCCCCCTGTCTTAACTTTTTTGTCTTTGAGAATACATTTGTAGAACAAGCTCAAGCAATTTCAAAACCCTATGCAAATATCTTGTCACATACATTTTAGTTGTTAAATTTTCAGTTTTTGTATAAAAGTATTAAGAGTTCTAAGATACGTCTATATGTATATTCAAAACTGATTGTAAACTCGGGTGACTTGTTCTAATGCATAGTTGTCCATCTAATTGCACGATTCTCACAGATTCATAAGATGATATATGCATGTGAATTTTCTAACTAAAACGGTGTGATATGAAAGGTGGGAAGGTTGGTAAGACGGGGGCGACGGGCACGGTGGTTGGACTGGACGTAACCGCATCTGAAAAAATATGGAAGGCGTTTCAAGCGGCTGGAGACATTGCCTTTTCATACTCTTATTCAAGTATTCTCGTTGAGATTCAGGCATGCATTCTTTCTTTCATAGATGTTTTGGTTGTCATCATCAAAATAGTGTGGCAATTTTTTATTTATCATTATTGCTTTTTATTTGCATTTAGTTTAAAAGTTTTATGATATACTCCCTCCTCCGTTTTTAATCAATGGCGTTGTAGGAGAATATTTGGTTCAAGATTCATTGATATTTTCAATCTACCATGTAAAAAAATATTAAAAATTAATATTATATGACCAATGATATACCTTCTAATTTATCATTGGTTGAATGTGGTTAAGTAAGTAATTATTGATGTTTTTGTTTTAAAAAAAATGTAAAAAAAAATAATTTTTTTATCTATGTACATAATCCTAAACGTCATCTATTAAAACCGGAGGGATATATGTTTTGGATCAATAACTTTTGATGATGTTATTATGATTCTTATCGAAAATATATATCTTGCATTTGACACATAATTAATATAAGTTTCACTTTAAATAATAATTAGCCTTCAACCGCGGTTCATACGTTAAGTTCTTAAAAACAATGAATCTTGTATGTCTTTTCTCCTTTATTTTTAGGATACATTGAGATCAAGCCCGCCAGAGAACAAAGTCATGAAAAAAGCAAGCCTTGTAGGAGTCTCAACTACAACTTCTTTTTACATGTTATGTGGCTGCATTGGATACGCCGCATTTGGAAACAATGCCCCTGGAGACTTCCTTACCGACTTTTTCTATGAACCTTACTGGCTCATCGATTTTGCCAATGCTTGCATCGTTCTCCACCTAATAGCAGCCTATCAGGTAACTCATAAGATTATAGCTCGAGTCTCAGATTAATGATTGCTCGATTATAAGGAAATAATTAATACCAAATACCAACAACTTCGAAGTTACGTATGTCTCAAGATGAAAACCAACATATTGATGATGTTTTTAAAATTCGCAGGTGTTTGCACAACCAATTTTCAAATTTGTTGAGAACAGATGCAAGAAAGCATGGCCAGAAAACAATTTCATCACCAAAGAACATTCGATGAACATACCATTCTTCGGAAAATGTCGCATCAACTTCTTCAGACTGGTGTGGAGGACAGCTTATGTGATTTTCACGACAGTTGTAGCAATGATATTCCCCTTCTTCAACTCGATCTTGGGCCTTATCGGAGCGGGCGCATTCTTGCCTCTAGTAGTTTACTTCCCGGTGGAGATGCACATCTCGCAGAGAAAGATTAAGAAGTATTCTATGAGATGGATCGGATTGAAACTACTTGTATTGGTTTGTTTGATTGTTACCCTCCTAGCCGCATTAGGATCCATCGTCGGCTTGATAAAAAGTGTCACGGAATACAAGCATTTCCACAGTTAAGAACAGTTGGTTGTAACCTAAGCTATCTGAATTTTGTGGGAATTACTTCTTTCAAGAAAAATACTCTCTCTGTTCCTAAAAGATCCATATTTTAGTTTTTTCATACTTTTTAATAAAACACAATAAATTTACATAATTTTTTATATTTATCTTCTTTCCATAATTTTAAACCAATAAAAAATCGATTAGTGCAATAAATTTTTTTGAAGTTTACAATTAGTTAATAAACACATGCATTAAAAATGTAAAAAATGGATTTTTTAAAAACAATTTTTTTTCTAAAATATATATCTTTAAGAAACGGAGGGACTAGTTGGTAGTTACTACCGCTACATAGCGTTGGTGCATGTCTGTCTTGTGTGTCTTACTTATATATAGAGGCATGCCTACGATGTATTAAAATAGGCACTCGCCTCAGGTCTCCGATTAATATGACTTAGTCTCAAATTTTAAAATAATTTCTAATATAGTAGTTTAAATTTATTTAAAAAAATCTTTGCACGACTCTCAATTAATTTACCTTCTCAATCCATGTACTTTTTTCCTATATGACATTATATAATATATTTACGTAATAAATTTATTCTTGTACAGTGTTCGACTTGTGTATTTAGTGAAAATGATCATTTTAGAATTTTTTTTTCACAACAAATTTATTTCACTATAATTGTAAATAATTGTTTTTTAATAACTTGTCTTAGGTCCCTAAAACTCTTCGCACGGCATTATTTATATAATTAACTAGGTTCGGCCCGCCCTACGGGCGGGATATAATTTATTTGTGATCTAGTTTATAATTTTGTGTATGATTTTATGGTTTGTATTTTAGGTTTGCATTTGTAAGAAATGTGTATGATACACTTTAAAAAAAAAATTCATACTATAAATCACATAAATAATATCAGAAAAATAAATGATACCAATTTGAAATACTTATCTATAAAAATGATACAAAATATTTGTTTCTATCAAGAAAATTTTGAGGATGTAAATATGATTTATATTTCTCGGAGTAGGAATGGTCGGACGGATTCGCTAGCGAGAGAAATCAGGACCAGAAGTTATATTTTCTCTCGTATAGATCGGATCCGGACAGATGAAAGTGATCTTTGGAGAATCGGCTCGTCTACCCTCCACTTGGTATGTTAAATGAACAACTAACGAAAAAAAGACACCAAATAATATAATAAAAATTAAATTTCTAATTTAATTAGTATATATACAGTAAAAGTTAATATTATAATTTAATTAATATATATACAGTAAAAAAATCTATACACTAATAATTTATAAATTAATAAAATATTATATTCCCAACATTATTAATTTATAGAATTTTGATTCATATACTTACTTTACTTTTTCATGTTGTTATTGCTTACATTTTGCTTGTGTTAGAATGACCTTCTCCATGTTCAGTTATCAACCATGATAATCTTTGGTTGCTTACCGGGCAAAATAACTAATATGACTTTAACCATAACATGTTTGTATCTTTTGTTATAAATATTCATTAAGATGGATTAATACATAAATTTTAAAATCCAATTCTATTGCAAAGGATGAAGGAAGAAATAATACAAAGAATCTGAACAATGATTATATATATATATATATATCTTTAATGTGGTAACTTGTATAGTTTCCTTGACTCTACTTCGGTTGATGCTGCTCAGCTCTACACGTGCCTAATCGCTTCGGTTTGACGACGTTCCAGTCGAAGGAGGTCAACGGTGCAAAGAACTCGCTTAACTTGCTGTTGTTGAGGACCGAGAGGGGCTCCACGGCGGGGGAGTCTTCGTTAACCAACACAAATATACCGTTAATAATTTTTATTTTGAACATGGTCCATAACTAAATTGAGACGTCCCTGATTATATATATAATACTGGTGTATATATAAGATCGTGGAAAGGGTGAACAGACGTCAATGGAGAGCCTGTAATATATACTGGTGTATAGATTATGTTGACATGCATATATTTTGGTGGAAGCTCTTTGCGGGATAACTCATGAAACTCCCGCATTTTTTCTAATTTGAATTTGGAAAGAGAGGCCGCAATGGTGTGGGACTTAGACGAACACGTTTTATAAAGAAGGGTTTGACCTATATTATAAATCTGGAGATTGGGCATATATTATAGTCAACGTATTTTAAAGCACCGATAATTTGGCATATACATTGATTGTCAAATATTATTAAGTGGAGTTGATTTTAGGACGTGGGGAACTTTACATCTAAGATTCTTTCATGAATTTGACTTAATGGAATTAGTGTGTCATTTGTTTTGGAACTATAGTTTATAACTTGAAAATATTGTCCTCCAGGTTCGTGCCAAGATCATGCAATGTGGTTGTTATTGGGTGGTTTGTTCGTCAGTTAATTAGTTTTGACGACCGTAAGGTTTATTTTGGAAAGTGAGTAAGCTACTCTCAGTCTTGATTGTTAGAAGCAGAGGCATATGTTTTATCTACTATCTTTACATTATCTGCCTTTTTACTCGAGACGTTTAAAACTCTGAACTAAGACCGAAAACAGTTTCCATAATTATTCAAGAAAATGTTTGGAATGAGAAAACCAAGTTGAGATCGTGAACGATACAGGGTGTAACTGGTTTTGAGTTTTTAGAATATCATGAATGAGATGAATTACAAAAAATGTAATACAGAAGATGGAACGATGGCATTAAAAGGAATATGATTAATGGAATTATAAACATTTATGTAACGTGACTGGTAGTTTTTTACAGGAATGTAGTGGAATGAAAATAAATTGAATTTAATCTAAATAAATTTTTTTAAATAATTTAAAACTGCTAATTTATCTTTTCATTTCTCCAATTCCATCTATTCACGACATTTTTTTGTTTCTGAATACTTTTTAACTGCATTCCATCTCTTTCCACTTATTCCGTTTGGAATTAGTAGGATAAACATTTTTTTCATTCAACCCAAGTGATAACCATTTTATGGAATCTTTGTGAATGGCTCATTCCAAACAATTCTATTCCAAAAAATGTAGTCCAGTTGCAACCACAGTTTAATTGAAAATGTTAGGAATAGCATGAAGCAGTTTTATTTGCTTAATAACATGTTCAGCCCATTATCGTTATTTCCTTACGCCACACGTGGTATAATTGTTCTCAGTGTTTCTCTTAAATATACGGAACCTAAGTGGTTAAATGACTCGAGAGTAAAATAACAATAGATAAAATACTTGAACTTCATTTATAACGTTTGAAGAAAACATAACAAAGAATAGGGGAAAAAGCGATAATGATCCATTAAGCATTGTTCAAATAGGTATTAATGTGACCAGCTCCAACATACTCTTCACCTTGGTAGATGCTGTAGTCTGATTTTTTTTTCCAGGAAGAGACCAGTTGAAGTTGTTGCAATAATTGAAGACTTCTCATTCCGACCTCCAGACACCTTCTTTGGGAGAGGACTGATCTCAGGTATGTCATCTCCAGGCCGTCGTTTCCACCCTCCTTACACCAACAGACATGATTTTTTAATATAACAGAAGGGTGGAATATGATTTGTCTATAATGTATTTACTACTCTTGTTTTGCAAAAAACATATTACAACTTGCTATGCACCTGATGACACCAACATCGTTAGCATTATTGCAGGCCTAGCACGTCAATGATGGATGATACACCTCTCTGAAGCTTC